CGTCGTCTTTGGTCAGTTTCAAAATAAAAAAAAAAAGAGAAAATAAATACAAAAACCCGAACAACCAAAACTACAAAAAAAGGCTGACCCGCCCCCGCCCCCCGTCGTTTTCTCGAGCCTCGATCCGATAAATCCGATCGGTGTTTAATGCGTCCCTGTCGGATAGCACGAGCCGATCTGCGCCTCGGCTTTCGTGCTTTTCCGTTTCGAAGATGGCGGGGAGAGGGGAGCCAGCCGGGATTGGCTCCCGTTTCGCGACCCGTCGACTCGTCAGACCTGTTGCCACGTTCTGGATCATGGTCTCGATCGTAGAGAGAACTGGAGGCAAAGGAGCCCGATAGATAACCGTCCCCACGAAACCCGCTGCGAAACGAACCGGTTCGAAACCGTTCGACGCTGTTCGAAACCGTTCGAAACGCCACCGGCAAGCCGACTGAGTCCAGTCGCGAGCCTCGAAATGCGTACACCTGCTTCTCTACTTGCTCGCGGACGGTCCGCGCTGCCTCGACAGTTTCTCGGTCGCCGTTCTTCGTATCGAGAAAATATATCGTCTCGAGAAAACGCGACCGGTCGGGTCCAGCGTTCGCAGGAAAATAGGCTACGCGAGGAATCGGGGCAGTCGGCGCACGCGCGGGAGCCCCGGCGTGGCGCGTCTACCGGGTGGACGTTGTAATTCCGAACTACGATCGGACAGAGGCACTGCGTCGCGTTATATTCCTAGTTCAGAATTATAATGTCCACCCGGTAGAACAGCGCGTATAGTAGAGCGCCGCTGTGCCGGGCTCTCTGCGCATGCGTCACTACCCCACTCCTTGCGCGGCCTATCGCGAACACTGGTCAAGACCCGCGTTGCTAGTTCGAAGCCCTTGCCCCGCCCCGTCGCGTCTACACGTGCCCGCCGGGCGATCTTTCGCCCCTCCCCCTCACTTTTCCACCGAGACTTCTTGGCCGGACTACCGAGTGGTCGTATTTCTTTTCTACAACGCGACGCTGCTTTCTAAACGCGTCCCCTAACGGTGCCAGCGCTCCGAACGCTTCGGAACGCAACATCGGGCTCCGCCTCCCGAGCGCCGCCGCAGCGTCTCGCTCCCCGCGCCGCTTCCATCGGCTCGCCGCAGCGGCGCCTCGCTCCCCGCGCTGCTTCCATCGGCTCGCAGCGGGGAGCGAGACGCTGCGGCGGTGCTCGGGAGGCGGAGCCCAATGTCGCGTTCCGAAGCGTCCCGAGCGCTGCCTCGCGCGGAGAATCGGGGGCACTCGTTGCAGTCCCGGCCGGAAGAGTGGGAGTGGACCGTTCGGTGGGACTCGCGTGGGCGAGACGGGGAAGGGGAAGGTTTCGAGAATCGACGAGACGCCGTCCCGTGGCATATTCCTGTTCGGGACCAGCGTCCAGCTGCTCGTTTTCGTAGTCCGACGACTATCGACCGAGACGGAACCGACGTTCCAGCGTTACACGCCACTCGGTATGTTTCCGGAAACGATTGTCCAGCGTCCGTTCGATCCCCGATTACTCTCGACGAGAACACGTCTCCGTGCCGCGGTGTTTGAGCCGCGACTCACCGACGCTGACCCCCATTACGGCTCACCCTCGGTTGCAAGCACGAGCGTTCCGGCTCCGATTCGAGGAGAACGGGGCTCCCGGTCTCGGACTGAAAGGCGATTCGACGTCGTTTTCTCGGAGTTAACAACCCTCTTGAACCTGAACGTTTCAGGAGCTCCTCGGGACGCTTCTTCAGACGGTATGATGCCCGATGCCACGCGTATCGGGCGGGTTCGAGCTCGGATGTGCATTGCTTGTCGTAAGTCTGCCGGAGCTTTCGGATACACTATGGATTCTCTACACGAACAACGGGAAGTTTTCGTTGAGTTTGTTGTGATTTTGTTATTTTCTTCTCTTTTTTCTCTTTTTTATTTCCCGCTTTAGTCGGCGTTCTTTCAGGAAGAAATCGATGTTTATAGTTGTTTTTTCTCTCCTAGTTTTTGTACCGTAGGAAGGATCGAGTTGTTTCTTTTCTGTTTGTGGATTGATCGTTTAGAAAACAAGTTGTGGACACTGTGAGATTCATTAGACTTGGAAGTTCGTTTGAAGTTCGAGCGTGTACAGGCTGGTCCACCTGATGGTAGCTATCTAAATGTGTCCTTGGAACGTACGCCTTGGATTTTTGAAGAAATTTCTGCGAAATTTGGTTCGCTGGTGTTCGTTACAATGCTCGGGATATTGCTTATAATATTAGTGATAATATTATAATATTTGTGTCTGTAATATTTGTTTATAATATATTTATAATTTATAACATATTAGTTATTTATAATATATTAGTTTATAATATTTGTGCTAGAGAAAACTTTGAGATAACTTTTCTGTATCCTCGTTGAAACTTATAATGTCACTTCGTTTTTTAGAAAGTTTCCTAATTCTTCTGATCTCTGTATTTTTTTTGTCGCAGTGCTGGAACAAATATTTTGTATGCAACTCGAACAATTTCGGTGAACATTCGTTAACAATTCAGTATCATTACTATTATTTGAGATTTTTGAAGTCACAGATGTTAATTCAAGTTTAGAGTAATTGATTAAATCGGTATAAATGCGACTCTCATTGGTTAAAACAAGACTAAAACAATTAGTTTTTAAAACAAAGAAAACAGAACGTTCGTATTATTTATTGCGAAGAATTGATTGTTTAGAATTTCTCTACGTTTAGACAACATTATGTCCAATATTGGAAATATTAATAAAAATATATTATAAACATTAATAAAATTGTAGCCAATATGAATTAATACGAGTTACGTGAAAACTGAAGGAGATACCTAGATGGTTATTTTTACATGGACCACCCTGTAAAAAACAATGTTACATCACAAATATCATAAGAAGTGTTTAAAATGGATCTGTGTGAAAATCATTTCTAAAAAAAAACAACAGAAAAACACTGAACGAATACCGCACGAAGAAATTGACAATCACGTATGGATTATAGTTGCTTAAACTTTGTCAAGAATGATACTGTAGTCAGTTATAGCTATACCTAGTTACAATCGAAACGTTCAACTTCTTCCAAACAATACAATTTTCACATTCGATACACTGAAATTTCTAGAAACCTCATTGCGATGTGATTTTTACCTAGATGTGTAATTTTTTATATTCCATACGATAATTTTGCTTACAAAATCTACGAATTACATTTCTATCATGCGATCAATTTCACTCGAACGACTATCAAAACTACGAACGAAACCAGAAAACTCTTACACGTGATGCCAGCCAACACACGAGTCTATAATTCTCATCTTGAACAAACTTTTCGAAGTTTTCATTGATATTTTCAAGCGGTAGACATTTGAAATTATTTTGTCACAATTTGTTCCAAACGTTTCTTTTTTCGACAAAAAAAATT